AGATCTGGGGGACGGAGGCCGTGGTGATTTTTTATCGCCCTTTTATCAAAGGACGACCGATGGAAAACGAGCGCGGAGATGATCGAGACAAAGTGTCAGGTAGCGCGGGACGAGAGAACAGGCATCCTGCCTTCTGGCTGGGGGATTTTCCCCTTCCCTGCAGACTGTGGGCAGTTTGGTTAATCGGTATTAAAATGGTGATGACGATAATACCTGAAAAATCTGCTTATTGTTGCAGATGGGCCAGAAAGCAAGGGGAGAGCTTTTACGTAATTAATTGCTCGAGTTGTTTCAGAAACGCTGCTTGGAACTTTAAAGGGCTTGTGGACAGAAAGGGCCCTTAAATAAAATCTGCCCTTGCCTTGCTCCTTCTTCACCCTCAGCTCCAGATTTCTGTTGTGGAGGGAGGGGGCAGCGTTATTTGTTTGTTTTAAATCTAGATGAGTGGCCCGGTTTTGGTACAAACATGAACCTGTCTTCAGAAGTTGACATCACTGAGGAATCAGCCAATTGGCTGACATTTAACCAACCTTCTTTTTACACATAAACCCCATCAAAGAGTTGTTTACACTGATGTTCTTTTGAAATGCAAATCCAGAATGCCAACAGACTGAAACTCAATTTAGATTAATGTAATTACCTGCAATACACAAATGAGGCTATACTATTTAATAGCCTTCACTTAAACCTTTTTAGAAGATCAAAAAGACTCCTATTGTTGAAGTTTAGTACTACAACAATTAGAAGATGCCTCTGTGATTTTCCTGTTACCTTTATAACCTGGTAGAAGCTTGTGGTTTTGCTTTGGTGCTCTGAAATAAAAAAATAGGTGAAATAATTACAATTCCCACTAAAAAAATATAACAGCTTCACGGTAGGTTAGGTGCACACCTCATAGGGGGATTATTTTTCCTGTTTTCTTATTTTCCTCCAGCAAAATAATGGTCTCTCTTCTTCTTTTAGGCTTTAAAGAAATGAATGCTCCAACTCTCACCCCCCCTCTCAGCCAGCCCAAAAGGTCCAAAAAACGCCACGCCAATTTAACGCTAGATAAAATGATGGAAAAATTCCTGCAGCAGAGCGTGGATACAGAAGAGAAGTTTTACAGATACGAAGAGCAGAGGCTCAAAATCGAGGACAAGCGCCGCGAAGCCGAGCACGCTCGAGAGCTCCAGATGTTACAGATGTTGGGACAGATGTTGGCAGGGATTTCCTCCACGGTATCCCAGAGGTCACAGTCTATACCGGCGAGTCCACCTCAGCGAGCGAACCATCGTTCCTATGGGGATAACTTTAATTATAGTGCTATGACAGCAGCACTTTCTCCACCCATAGGTACTTCCTTCTATAGCATAAATAAAAGCTCTTTTCTTTTAACCATCTGTGTGAAAGCACTCGTAGTAAGTAGCTTTTGGAAATAAAAGCTAATTGGAATTCTTAATGCCGTGGTGAAGGTGTCTGTCTGATACCCAATGAGATTCAGTCGTCACTTGTGCCATTGTACTGCCTAATTAATATAGATTTATTATCAATAACATTTTAACGAGCGAAATCGCACCTTCTGGACCCTGTAAACACTGGAGACTTCTTTTTGTGTGCGTGTCTCTGTAAAGTGAAGTCAGGAGAAGTTTTATATCTAAAAGACAAGTAGCACATTTGCTGGGAGCGAGCTGGGAAAGTCAGGTGCCTTTTAGCAGAAGTTCTGCTGCTGTTGAAGTCAACAGGCCTACCCCAGTATGTGAAGTTAAGGCTGTGCATGTGTTTTTTCAGGGTTGGGGAAAGAATTGGACTTTTGCCTACATTGAAGTAAGTCACAAGTTAAAATTTAGCTTCTTTAAAATGCATTGCTTTAAATCAGTTCTGAATCTTTTGATTGAATGTTGTATTATTGTGGTGTAGGTGGAACAGAAGATGAAAATGCTGGCATAGATATTTCTTCTACATAACTTAATTTAAAATTTCTGTGGGTGACTGAATTTATTTTAAAGAAAAAGTCAAAGGAGGAACTCTAGAACTGGTATTTATGCACAGGCTTTTCCTTCCATACCTTATGCGTGGGCCAGAAGTTAATAGCTGGATATTGGCTGTCATTAACACACTTCTCAGGATCTTTGGCTCCAAGTCATTTGTCTTTGTCATAGTCTCTTTGCAGCACGTGGAGGAAAGCTCCTCCTGGGATTACTCTGGGTGGACTCAGGGATACTGTGTTGATGCTGAAGCCAGAGCCAGCCTGGGGCTGGGTGGTTCTAGCTGGCCACGTGGAAACAAAGCAGGTCTCATTCTGTCCTCATCCCAATTTTCACACTGCTGCAAAGAAAAAAGTGTGGTTGAAAACGAAAAATACCCACCCAACCTCAGTGGTGAATAATAATCCAGCATGGCAGATCCCAAAGGGCATTCTCTGGTTCCTCAGAGGACCTTGGAGCCTTTTCAGTTCTAAGTGAGGTGCCGTGTTCCCTGGAGGGTGCGTGGGGTCGGGGAGGTTGGGGCTGTCTGTGGTTGGGTTGTGGGTTTAGGGTTGTGTTTCTTCTGGGCTGGGCAGTTGGTCAGTAGCATTCTGTGATGGCAGCAGGATGTTGTGGATGACTTGCAGCATGTACACAGATTCTGTGTTTTAAGTGTTGTTTTCACTTTTAATTTAAAAGGAAACTTGAAGTGCTTTGGAAAAATCCCTTATGATCTGAAATTATTTGAGGTTCTAGACTGGGGTGATGGTACCTACACAAAGCCTTACCATTACTTCTGAGAGGTTTTTTGGCTGAGTTTCATTATCTGTAAAGATTGGAACTGAAGGTCAAGTTTTCTTGCTGGATTTCATCAGATTGGTGTACAACCACATGACACCATGCAAAAATTCATTATATGTATATATTTAACTGCAGCAAGAGCAAATGCAGCCTCTGATCTTTTAATTGGTGAAGGTGTAATAAAGCATTTGTAATAAAATGTGAAAATAACACTTCAGGCAGCACATCTTTTAAGGAATTAAGATTTGTTTATAGCTAAATAAGCCCCAGTGTTTCTGGGGGTAAGTGAGACTAGGTTAAGAATTGCTTATTGCATCATTTTCTGTCTTTTCCACATTTTTTATGCATTCACCTTATGTTTCCATGTAAGCAAAAAACAGCAATAAAGAAACAGAGGGCCTCCTTGAGAGCAAATGAGAGGATTGCCAAGAACCCTTGCACTTGAAGGGTTACAAGAGATGTGATAAAGATGTTTCTCATGTGGTTGAACACCAGTGGGTGTATGAAGTGTGATTTAAAGATTTCCAGAGGAGATGAGCATTTGCTGTGCTGGGTCACTGCAGTGCTAGTTTGGCCATAATCCAAAACAGGATGGGTTTTTTTTGTTGTTTTTTTTTTCTTTAATCTCAAGAGTAATGGGATGCCTGTATTATAGGAGGATTTTAAAAGCAAAAGATTAGCCAGGAGTATTTATCATTATTGAATACAAAAGCATTTTATTACTGAAGACTTGTGTGTCTGGCTTAGGTCTAGGTTCTGTGTAAGACAGAGAAAATGATGCTTTCTGCTGATAGTGCACAGATGCAGAGTTTTCTTGATTATTACAATTTTTTTTCCCATTATTACAGCCAAAATGTCTGGAAAAGTTTTTCCTGTTTGGTTTTGTGGTTTGTTTTGGTTTTTTTTTAATTTTTTTTCCCCTTTTTCATGTAGATTTTGATGTTGGGGGATGGGATTGCTGGAAGTACAGACTGTAGTGGGAGTTAGTTTTGGCATAATGATGTATTTCTATGTAGCAGTTCCTTAGAAGATCTTTCAAAAAGAAAGTAAGCATAACTAAAGTCTAGGAAACTAATATCAACATTCAAGTAAATGCTCTTCTGAGCACAACTGTACAGTTGAGGAGCTTTGCTGAAATGTAAGAACTTACCCTTTTAACATATTTGCTGCAATTTATAGTTAACACTTTATTGGTAGAAGTATAGATCTTCAGATTTGTCCCATGTTTGGTAAACGGTTCAATTCTCTTCAGTTATAATCATTGAAATACTTTTTTCTAAATTTTTTTGGCCTTTTGAAACTCATTTGACTCTGTAGCCTTCTGAGTGTACACTGGTTTTGATATGCAGCTTGACATAGAGCTTTGCACCAGAGATCAGTAGTTGTGTGACAGCTAAAATTTGCCCTGGTGTGATATTTATCATGTGTGGATCTTGTGCATTGGATTGTAGTTTTGCAGAAAGACTTTGGTGGTGCTTTGTAGCTACCTTCCAAAATAAAAAAGCAGTGAGGTAGCCCCCCTGATTCTGCTAAGAGGTGGAAGCCTCTAAGGGGAAGCAGCAGATAAGGTGGGGTGTACATTTAAAATGTGGTTTCTGTTGCTTTGTGCTCCCTCTGTGTCTGGGTGTGTTTAGTCCTTCCTATTTCAGTGGAGTTTAATTAGGGAAGTGATTTCAGGCTGGACTAAGAAGGTATTTCTAGTTACAAAATGTTCCTATAACTCTTCTGAGCTGTTGTTTCTTTTTGTACCTGAGCCCTAAATGAGGACTGTGAGCAATCAGTGGGAATGTTCTCTGCATCAGTCCCTAAATTCATTATTAAAATAATCATCTTCCCTCGTTACTCACTGGTAAAGGCCTGGAGGTGACGAAGCATTTGGGGTTTAGAAGGATGTCACTTGAAGTGATTTTATTGCTGTTGAGTGCTTAAAAGTTCAAGAATCAACATGCTTTAACACTTTATTTTCTTCTTTTCAGTGATAGAGAGGACTTTCTCCCTGCACAGAACACACACTCTGAAGGACATGGAGAACATCTTTCAGCTGGTGCGCAACGTCATCCCCCCTCTGACAGGGAAGAGGCATAAAGGCCAGGATGGGCGTATAGGCATCGTTGGAGGATGTCAAGAGTAAGTTAAACAGAAACTGGAGGTTTTGTTTCTGAGTCTGAGGATGTCACGAGCCCTTGTAGAAGCCATTCAGACTCACCTTGCTTTTAAAACACAGGTATTTTTCCAGAGAGCTTTGTTAGTCCCTCATCGTGACTGTGTGAAGGAAAATGTTTCCCTGCAGTTTTATTGCAAAAATTTTGGTAGTGGATGTGGTTGAAGCTTAGAACTTAAGGCAGACATGGACTCAGACACCTCTCTGTCTTTTTTGACCACCAGACTCTCTGCTTTGAGTGTTAGTCTTTTCCCATTGCATGGTGAAGTTGCAGAGTAAGTAGAATAGAGACAGTGGCACAGCTGATGTTTTTTATATTTTAGTGTCTTGGGAGCTGGGTCTCTCAAATCAGGAATAGAAGACTTTCTTACTGCACACTTTTGATTTTGGATAAATTGCCATGTTTGCTGGATTCTGTCAGCATCTTGTTTTATGTTCTGGACTAATAGAAATAGCATGTTTTGGAAAAAAAAAAAGATATAGCCTAAATCAGTTAAATGCTGTACTGTCCTAGAGATAAAACAGGCTCTGTTCTTCTCTTGGCCATGTTCAGCAATGTGAACAATACTTTGAATGAGCCACTACACCTTCCTGGTTTTCATTTTTTCCTTTTGAAATAGAGATGGCATCTTTCTGCTGGAAAGGAGATCTGCTGCTGGACATCTGCCATTAATAAACACACTGAAAAGAGCAAAAAGGTGCTGGCTTGGAGCTGGCTTGATTAGCCAGGAGTTAGTTTTCCTGTTGGTCTAATGGGCTTAGGTTCTTCCTCCTGGCAGAAGTAGGCATCTCTGGAGAGTGACTGTCCATATCTCACTCTTCAGTCTTCATAAAGAGAGTTTAGGGCAACTGGAATCAGTTTTTTGGCACTTTAGTTAAGCATCTAACACCAGATGGATCAATCCAGGTCACAGATCCCAGATTTGTCTTGCAAACAGTGCTGGACCCGTTTGGTTTGGTTGGTCTCTAAACTTTTAACTTGGTTGTCTGAGAAGAGTTTGCTTTTTTTGTGGCATGATCTCTATAAATAGTTCTATGAAAGGATCAGGTGGCTCAGGTAGAATCCTGCCCCTTTGAAATCAAAGTAAGGCTTGACATTGGCTTCAGTACAGCAACATTTTATCTATCCTTTACAGCAAACAAGAGAGAAAGGGTTTTTATTAAAATTTACTCTTGAATTTGGGACTTCATTATGGCAGGCTGATTTCCAGATTATCTGATCTCACAACTGCTTCCTAACCTAAGTTGTGTTTTATTCTAGATACACTGGAGCACCATATTTTGCTGCAATTACAGCTCTCAAAGTGGTACGTGTTCTTCTATGCCAATCCAAAATTAACTTTTCATCATTTATGTTGGCTAAGCTCTTGTTTTGTAAAAGCATTGGTTCTGCATGGCACAGGAAATTTGAGTTCTAAAAGGTCTTCTGTTTAGCAAAGAAAATCCTTAGTTACTGTATTTGTAGAAATACTGTGTAAATATGTGTTATTTGTTGTGCTTTCTCTAAATGTTTCCTCTGTATAAGGTAGAGTTAGACACATCTCAACAAAGACAAAAACTCAGAACTCTTTTATCAGTGCCTTGGATAAGAAATTTCAAACTTGATGAAATATTTTACCCCAAAGTGAACAATAACATCAGATTAATGTATAAAGTTACTTTTCTTTTCTGTGCTGCAGTCAGTTCTTCAGGAATTTTTTTCTGGACTTGTGTTGAGTGAAGTCAGTTTCTTTCAAAACTTAGAGCTTTAGGCTAGTAAAATTCTTCTCTGCTCTAAGTCTGGAAATTGTTGCTTTAACTTAATGTGATTTTTAATAACACATTTTATTTACATCATACCTTTTAGCAGAAGTATTTTCTAAGCTTTTTTTCCCCTAGAAGTGTGAGCTTATTTTGCTGATGTATTAACTGGCTACAAACATATTTACTGCAGGCTACATAAATACAGTGGTGATTATTCAAACATCAGCTAATGATACATAAATAATACATCCACTTTTCAATACTCTGTGTCTAGTGGGTCAGTACTTTCAGTTCATTGTGTAGCTTTTCCTTTTTGGGGATTTGTTTCAGTAAGTAGGTAACCAGTTCAGGTATTTGCACACACACCCAGGATGTGGTCCCTGGAGGATTTAAAACTGAACTGATGCCATCTTCTAGAAGATATTGTGGCCATTCAGCTTTCTGTGCAGTGTGTGCAAATACAGGGACATACTAGGAGGTTCCCTTTTGAAGTCACTTGGACTCAGATCATTGCATCTCCACATAAAGAGTCAGGGGAACAAATCTCTGCCTTGCTTGGTAGCTTGCAATGTTAAATGTATATAGCAGTAAAGCAGAGGAGAAGCTTTCTTAACCTTGGGGAATTTCATTATGCAGGGCAGATACAAGACTGAGCTTTCTGGTCACTGCTTATAGATGTGTGTCTGAATTTTTTGAGATGACAACAGGGGCCTGAGGCTAAACTCTTCAGCTTTAATGCTTATTTAACTTAAAGAGGTGTTGCTGACATTGTGCCAGCCTTTATCTGGCATGGATTTGGCCTGTTGGGTAAAATTAATAGGACTGGAAATGTCCTCAGAGATTGCCATAACTATATTTTGGAAGTATAGTACAGTGTTATTTTTTGTCTCTAGTAGCTTATCTCTTGTTCAGTTGTGTTCTTTTGCCTTTCTTCTTATTGTACATGTGACATTTTTGCCTGTGCTTATCTGCAAGTGAGAAACATTTCTCAGGTGAGTAAAGGTTCTGCATCTGTGTTTTCACTCAGTCTTTCAGTGAGAAGCAGAAAAAAATCTATATTGAAAATTAGATTTGAAAAATCCTCCAAAGCATTGCATGGTTATGTAAGCCAGAATAGAAAAAATAATAAAGTTTACTTTAAGGACTGGAAAGGAAGAATTTGGGTGAATTATTTAGTCAGCAAACCTCAGTTATTCTTAAGTGTGTATCTGATAATGCTGTCTGCAAATTTTCTTTTTTAGGGTGCAGATTTATCCCATGTGTTTTGTACCAAAGATGCAGCAACAGTAATCAAATCATATAGTCCAGAGCTGATTGTCCATCCAGTTCTGTAAGTGACTTATCTTCTGTTTAAATGAGTCAGTCAGGGTTACTAGTTTGAACATTACTGTCTGCCAGTTGATTAGTTTGTGTTATTTCTTTTTCTGAGTTACAGGATGGATGAGCTGGAGGTTTCAAAAACTCCTGGGTTTATTACAAACAGCTAGATATTTAATAGAGAACAATCACTTGTGAACTTTTTTCAGTGCCATCAAAAGTACTCACTGTGTGTAAAATCAGTTTGTGCTTCCCTGAATTTGTGTTCTGAAATATGTTACTGATGGGTCAACTTTTGGAGGATAAATTGTGTCAATTTGGTGTTGTGATGGTTTGCTCTGAGTGCTGCCACTGAGAATTAAGATGTGTGCCTTAGGTGTGTGTCCCTGAGCTTGGAATTCTATGGGTGTGTGGCAGAGTCTGTTGGGGTACACAGCAAAGCTGTGATGGAGCTAGAAAAAGTGTAATTTAAAATCATGTTTGTCAGATATTGCTGTCAGGAGGGATTTATGGTGGGAGAAATATTTCTGTGTCTGAGAAGAAGAATGTGATCTCCCTTATGTGATGCCTGCAGTTGGAAGCCATAAGTTTTGTACATTCTAAAGGTGGGTTTCAGTCCTGTGGTGCTGAGAAAGAAGTCAGTCAAATATCAAGGGTTGTGTTTTGATGTCCTGTTTGGGGTTTTTTTAAAGATATAAGAAATGAGTTTGTGCATTTTAGACAGGGGAAAAAAAGATGTTTGAAAGCAAGGGGAAGATAACAAGGATAAGGTTTTTACCAGTCCAGCTGCATTAGCCTCTAAAATCCAAAAGACATCTTCAGTTGATGTTCTGTCTGGTACTGTATGATAACAAATGAGATGGAGAATCTTAATGGCAGTATTAGAGTGCAACTTAGGTTGTATTGATGGATGATGTGTAGGATAGAGTTGTCTCCTGTGGGAAGGAGTTGACCTTGGCTTGGGAGAAGCATTTTTCATATAAACAGGGTTCCTGATGTCTGTGGTAATGGGGAAGGTTCACAGGAGAAGCAGAGGCAGCACAGAGAGAAACAGAGATGGCAATGTGTAAACAGTGAAGTTGCTGTTCATGGAGGACCAGATTGTGCCTGTGAAGTAAGGAAGTAAGGATGGTTTGGGTTTTTTTTATATATATATACAGGTTCTTAGTGTCTCCTGTGAAATTCAGATCTCAGTGTGCACTCTTATCTTTCTATTTGTAAAGAGAATTTCTGATTTTAAACTTCAGCTCTGTCTGTAGATTCCTCCAGATGTGCCAAGTCCAGTGAATCTAGAGATGTTCATACCCACATAGCTTTAAGCCTAAAAGTCAGTGTTTCATACTTGTATTACAGCTCCCCAGTCAGCTGGCTAATGGTGTGAAGCAATGGATCTGTAAATATAGTTTATATGATGAAAAAAATTCAAATATCACAATGTTCAGGTTTTGTTTGTTAAATTTTCTTATCATTTTACCTCTTCTGCTTCATTTGAGGGGAAGAGAAAACACTTTTCTGCCAAGAAAGAATAAAATCTTGACTGACTCTATTGAGCTCAGGTTTTATTCAGATTTCCACAAACAGCCTCATTTTCTGGTGAGGTCCTTTGTCTCCAGCCTCACACTTTTCATGTTCTGATTTCTCCCTGACCCTTCAGAGTAACTAGGTAGCTGTTGCACCACTCTCTTGTTATGCTAATGATGATTGTGCCCCTCAGTTCACTGTTTGAACAGCTTGGCACTTCGCCAGGGTTCAGCTGCCATTTTGTACTGCCAGGAGTCTGACATTTTATCACCTCCTCTGTGCCTTGGCTGCTGCTGCCCTTCCCTGCTGCCTTCACCTCACCTCCAGGGAAGAAGAGGCTCTTTTCTTCCTGCTGCCCCTGCATGGGGGTGTTCTCCTGGCTTGTTTTGCTGTTGTGGATCTCTGATGGCTTGACTCCCCAAGGTGCACCAGAGCTGGAAGTTGCACTGTTGTGTCTCAGGTGCAATTCCTCCTGTCCTGGGCCACACAGACCATCCTGGGTGTATTTTGGTGTCACCTCCCATGCTGGAGATGCCCATAGTGCAGCTTTGTGGGTTTTGGCTCCACTTTGTTCCCTGTTCCTGTGAGTGAAGGTAGGAGCTGGGAGGATGAAGCTTCAGCACCTGCCTCTGGGCATTCTCACTTCCTGAGCTGAACAGTGATAGCTGGGTGTCCAGGGGCCACAAATAGCATTATCATTAGGAGCTTTTCCTTTTTATTCAGGGGTTCTGTCCAATGCATTCTGACCCCTTCCACAAGGACTTGATTTTCATGAAAGTATGTATTAAAAACTGACCAGCTAACCAGTGTTTTTCCTGATGGGCTTTTTCTGTTGCTGTGAAGAAGTGAGAAGTGTATCTTGCAGAAGCCTGGGTCTTCTGAGTAGTGGAGTATACAGAGTCTGAGTCACCATGGCCTTGTCACCACTGGCCTTTTGTGCTACATTTCCCTGTTTTCTCAGCTAACATGCTCTTACTGTAAACTCTACACAAATGCCAAAGCTAGGTTTTATCTTGTCTGTTATTAGTTTTTACTGCAGGCATTTTCTGTGTGGATTTCTGCTGTAGATGTGTGCATACTTTCTTGCATTAGTGTTGGGAGCTTTCTGGAGGACAGTTTTCAGGGGCTTTTTTATATTCCACATGTTAACTCCCTGACTTGGGTCAGGTGGAACAGACTTTTTGGCTACCTGTGTTGGGTTGGCTTATCCTGTCTTGACAGGCGAGTGATCACAGAGTTAAATGAGCTATTTGGACCCAGCTGGTTATATTTTAAAAGAAGATACAATAAATCTATTGTGTTAGATTCCCCTCTTGCAAGGACTTTTGTATAATCTTACAGTGTTTTTTCTCTGTAGGCCAGGGAAGATTGAGATACCACAGGCCCACTTGTGAGCTGGTTGTCAGGCAATTTGTAAAGTCAACAGTCGATACACTCCTTGATCTCCAGGGTTTTATCAGAGAAGTAGAATTGGATGTCAGGTCATTAATTTCTTGTGGTCCTGAAGTCATGTAAATTTTGTGATACCCAAAAAAAAAGCCACCCTTGAACTAGGTGTGGATTTAGAACTAATACCTTCCCCCCAGCTGGTTCTACCTATGGGTGTGTGTGGACTAGGAAGGACTGCCAGGATTGCTGAGAGTCATCCAGGTAACTGCAGAGTTCAAGATTTGGGTTGGATTTTGAAAAAGGTTATTCTTTTCAGTTTGAAGTAAAAATAATTAAGGAGAAAACTCTCACAAGGCTGGCCTGTCTGTTGTGGCCAGTTACCATTAACAAAGAAGCTTAGTTTAGATCACAGTTGCTGGAACATATTTTACCTACTTTTATTTGGATTTTATCTATGTTTTGGTGATTTGAAAAGTCCTGAAAGTGAATCATGGATAGTGAGCTCATGATTAGTTATTTGACCTCTTTTAACCAGTGCCAAGTCTCTTAAAGAAAGCCCAGGAACACTCTTAATTAAGATTTTTGTCCCTTTCTAATTCATTATGAGAGGAGATTCAAAAGCACTGGTCCTTTGTGGGAGGAAGCTCATACATTTTAGTTGTGTTAGCTGAGGATAGCTGTGAAACAGCTCTGTGTAACGTGGGTCCAACCTCTCTTTTGAATCAGCTGCTGGAAGAAGTGCAAGAATTTTTGTCACCTGGGGAAGTCAAGGAGAAAGATTACCAAAAAGATGCCTCCCAAGTGACTGGGCTGCTGGGTCCCTGTTATACCTGTGGAGAAGAAACAGGCATAAACTTTGTGATCTTTCTCTCAGAGCTCATTTTGACAGCAGTCTAGCTAGGAATCACATGAGAAAGAGTTTGGTTTTTTTCCCTAAGGAGAGATAAAGGTCAGTGTGTATGAGCTGACTCAAGAAATATGCTTAAACTTTTCCTCATCCTGACATGCAGTGCCACAGACAAAACTTGCTGATGGACCCATTTCTTGGAAACAAAGCTGCAGCTTCTTTGCTGCATGCTGCAGAGTGAGAGACAGGAGGTGTATTCAGCCCATACTGTAGTCCCTTTCCTCCCTCTTTGACTGAAGGTGGACATGCCTTGGATTTGCTTCTGCATTTATTTTTTAAAATATTATTATTATCACTTCAAGGTTTCAAGGTGTGGGGTTTTTTTTTTCCTCTCTTCCCAGCTGACAGTCAGCAGAGGAGATCCTCACACAGAGACTTGTTCTCATGTGTCCACAGCCCCCTGGAAGCACTCTAGCTTTCTGGGTGCTGGTTCAGCTATGCCCATGATTCATCTGTGCCTTCAGAGCTGAATGTCAACTAGAGAGGGACACCAATGTCATAAAAGCTTGTCACTTCATTTATCAATTTTAACATTTAAAAAAAGAAGTGCATTAGTTTTCCTGGGGATGTTTTAACTCTGTTTCATTCTCAGGGAAATGACATTATCAGCTTGCTTCTGGCACAGGTTTGGGTTGATTGCAGTCCATTTATTGACAGATCCAGTCAGTTCACAGGAACTCTTAATATGTCAAAACCACTTCCATGAACTCTGAAAATATGGGGTCAAGATATTTGGGTACCATTATACTTTTTGGGGTGGTTGCCATAACACATGTTGATAATGTGAGACCAAAACATACTACAGCTGCCTCAAAGGTTTGTGTATCATCCCTGGAGGGGTTCAAAAGCAGATGTTGCACTTGAGGCTGTGGTCTGGTGGTTAGGGAAATGTTGGGGTGGAGGTTGGACTTGGTGATCCTGGAGGTCCTTTCCAACCAGAGTGATTCTATGATTCTGTATAGCTGAATGCAGGTTGTAAAATGGTTGTGTTGATGCTTGTGGTATCTTTACAAGGCTAGATAAGATTGACCTTGAGTGATGTCCTCGTGGCTGTGTGAGAAATCTCAGAAAATAGAATCAAGCAGTAGCTTCTTCTCCTTTGGACCTCGTTCTCACAGGAGGTGAGAAGCTCTGCTCTGCATAAGAGCAGTGACCCTGTTTGTATAACGTGTTTAGTTTCATTATTAAAGAGGTTT